CCTGTGTACCTGTGGACTATGTGCGATCGAAGAGTCCAGGTATTTCTTCCGCTGTGTTTCCTGAGATCCCTGTTGTGCCCTTAACTCACCTCCAGGGGCCTGTGTCCCAGTAGATGAGTGAATGTTGACGGATGACATTGTGCGATTGATGAAATTCAATCCAGTCCTTTCTCTGCCCGTGTTTGCAGAGATCCCTGCTGTGTCCTTAAACCACCAGTACTTCCTAGAGTCGTGCCCGTTAATGCGCCACGATTTTAGGAAACGTACGTGCTACTACAGGAGCGCCCAAATGTATCCAACTAGAAATGTTTCTACTCTATTTTTTTTCCGCAGGCGATAGCTGGGCCACGTACTGGTGGTTTAAGTCACTCCCAGTTATTCTTTAAACCCCATTGATATCCCTAAACCCTGGAGTGACCCTCCCTTTTCCATTCCCTTACGGAACTTGTTCCAGTTTGACTATATGAGGCTTAGTACATCCTTTTTCATCCTTGGCTGTCCCCTCCCCCCTCCACTCACTAAACTTCTCACCCTTCCTGTTTCTGAATCCACCCCTACTGTGCTCCCTAGCTGATCCTTTCTCTCTCTTTTTTTTTTTTTTTTTTTTTTTTTTTTGAGGTCCCTTTGTTCCGATCTTGTTTGTGGGGAGCAGCAAGTGCTGGGAACCGCTCCCTAGCTGATGCTATTTATCTGTTGAGCGTGTTCGCCCACTTAGCTCCCATTAAACCGCTAGTACAATGCCCCAGCCTTGCAGAAAGTTTTGGTCGCCACAAGCGAAACTCGGAGGCGCCGTGCGGCCAGGCCCGCCGTTGAAAAAGAAAATAGGCGGCCTCCAAAGTGGTGCGGGTTTCATGCTGACACCCGCGGGCGGATATGTGGTGTGCTGATGCTTTAAGCCTATATGAGGGTTATTCGCACTCAAATCATTGATAACTGGGTGGCTGCCCCTGGCCGGCTGTAGGCGGGGGGTAGGGAGGGAAAGAAGGAAGAGAGATTGGGGGAGTGGTGCCAGGTCAGGGGTGTAGGTTCCCTGTAGCAGGGGGATTCAGGGACGGTTCCCCGGCTGCGCTCGGAGGGGGGGGCTTGGGAATTTCGAGTTCCCAGGATTCCCCAATGACCATGGTACAGTTAGTCGGATGGATTCCGAGCCGTATTTGAAAGTCTCCGGACGACAAGAATTCCCAATTTCCCACCGGTCCTCAGACACAAGCCAACAAGGTTGCCACTACTGCCGCCTGTGTTGTGCATCTAGTCTGCACAGTCTGTTACGTGGATCCAGCCATGTCGATGAAAAATTGTTTAGTACTGGGGTCCGTTTGGTTGCGTCCAGTTCATGTGTGAGCCTGGTGAACATTGTTTTCCAGGCTTCATGTGTTCGTATCCAGGAGTCCAGAATCCAGATGCATCCAAGGGGTCCACGCTCAGGAGCTAGAAAGGTGACAGTTTCAGGGCCAAATAAGTAGGTTTCGATTTCCGTGAAAAACTATAAGATGACAAAATGTTGATTTTGACCAAATGGCTGTTATTAGGGCAAGGTAGCCCTGGTAATGGCTGGCATGGTAAAGTCAAGGGATATAGGGGAGAGGAACGGGGTGGGTTGGGGGCGCATCGCTCCAACTCGGAGGGTATCATTGGACAGAAGGTTAACCGACCCCCAAATTTTCACCCCCATTTATAAGAAAATTATTGTGGAGGGTTGGTGATGCCAGGATCAATTCATCCTTGGGACGGAGCAAGAGCAGATGGTGGCTCCCACTGGTGTCCCCCAGTGACTCCTTCCGTCTTCCTGAGCCAGACCGCACGCTAGGAGAGGGGCAGGACGCTGGACCAGGTTTCCAGCAACAGGGGGCCGGCTTTCTCTTTTTGTCTTTTTACCTATGTACTTCCAAAGGACGCTGAGTCTGGTTCTCAGCACAAAAGATGTATCAATGGGACGCTGGACCCAGTTTCCAGCAGGCGCCGCTCCCCACCAATAGACGGAGCAGCCCGTCAGATAAGCCCTCTATTCTGACGGTTCTCTTAGTACCACCGCCGGGATAGAGGGCTTACACAAGGGCTTAAAAAATATATATATATATCGTCAAATAGAACTGCCCGGTAAACCGTAGGCAGAGAGGGAGAAGAGGACAACAAACGAGGGGCTGTGACAAACT